TTTTTTCCGTGTCCGGCAACGGATCGCAACCCTCAGTGTTGCCCCCGTACCAGACCGGGGACCGGCAACGGGATTGCAAGCCCCGGTGCTGCTCCCGCGCCTCGCTCAGCCAGTGAGCGGGAGCCGGTCTGTATGTGGGATCCGAACCCTCGGACAGGAGCGCCGCCGCGCTTCCCAAGCGGCGCACTATCCAGTGCGCCACCGGGCCGGCCCTGTGACAGCTATTCTTACATGAGAAAAACAAACTCATCCTTAAAAATATCATGGACAATTCCTCCTAACACCTTTTCAAAGTCATGCTTTTGTTTCAGAAGACCCTGGCACAGAATAAAGTTAGCGAATAGGAAAAGAGTTATATGCCTGCATGGCTCTTAAACACTCTTGCTCTTAGCAACCTTACAGTGTTTACGATTTTGTCACCTCCACTCCACTTAACTATATCCCAGAGTCAAGGGAAGATAGTATTACAGTAGGTTGGCTGTAGCTGCTGCAGACAGCAACCAGGTAAGAGACTACCTAAACAGTATGGAAGAAAAAACAAGAGACAATGAAAACTGTACGAAAGAAAAGATGCATCGCAGAACAGTCCTTAAAAAACCAAGGTTTCGAAAGGACTTTGCCTCTGCCTCTCCATTTCCTCCACAGCCAACTCATACTCAAACAAAAGTATATTTTTATGATTGTACTTATACACCCAAGTTGGCTATTTTCTGATCTCTGAAAAAAACAAGGAGTGAGATCTGACCCCACTATGAAACCCCTATGTTCAAGAGGTAACCAAAGAGACGTTCTTTATGTAACATTTCATCTTTACTTTCTAACAAATAGCCCAGAATTACCTCCTTTGGGTTCAGTATCAAATGAGGGAGGGAAGTTAAAGATAAATCAGAGAAAGAGAAGTGAACATTTAAGACTTAAAAACTCACCCAACTACCACTGAAAAGAAATCTTGGCCAGCCGCCTCCCTCCCACCCCACCCAAAAAAAGAATGAAATCTGTTGGAGCTAAAGGAAAGCAACAGAAAATAGTATCTGAGCTTTTTTTTTTTTTTTTTTTTTTTTAAAGATGACCAGTAAGGGGATCTTAACCCTTGACTTGGTATCTGAGCTTTTATCTCTACATAAAAAGAAAAGAGCCCCTCCAGTAAATGATGCAGGAATGTTTGTTTTGTCTGTTCACGGTGGGTTTTTTTTTTTTTTTTTTTTAATATCGAGGGCAGTGAAGCTCTTCAGCTTACTTTGAAAATAAGTGGGAGCCATTCTATAGTACAGCCATTAGCAATGAGGTAAAACAGATTCCCATTTTATAAGACCCAGGAAATATATCCCTAGATGTCAGCAAACAAAAACTACTCAAAATTTTTATTTATCATTTAACATATGTCTCCCAACAAATACACATATTTGGTGGTTTATTGTGTGGACCGGTGTTTTCCTGAATAGAATTTTACCCACAGATACTCAAAAACTTAGCTAATTTTTTAACCAAATTCATTCCGCTTGTTTCAGATCAACTAAAAAGATAATCGTTTTAGTTCATTTTTATACTGCCTGTCCCGAAAATTGAGTACATGATTAAACCTAAACACTGACAAGGAAGGCACTTTTTGATGTGTTCATCTTTGTACCTTCTTTTATTTATTTTATTTTATTTTGTCGATATACAATGTGGTTGATTATTGTGGCCCATTACCGAAACCTCAGTCCCTCCTCCTTCTCCCCCCTCCCACCCAACAATGTCCTTTCTGTTTGCTTGTCGTGTCAACTTCAAGGAATTGTAATTGTTGTGTCTTCTCCCCCGCCCCAGTTTTTTTTTTTTGTGTGTGTGTGTGTGTGAATTTATTTATTTATTTTTAGCTCCCACCAATAAGTGAGAACACATGTGGTATTTCTCTTTCTGTGCCTGACTTGTTTGACTTAACTTTGTACCTTCTTTTAGGTGAATCATTATTTGTTTTAATCTGCTTTGAAATGATTTCCTCAATCTAAAAATACAAATGAGGGCCGGCCCGGTGGCGCACTGCTACAGTGCGCCGCTTGAGAGAGCGGCGGCGCTCCCGCCGAGGGTTCGGATCCCACATACAGACCAGTTCCCGCTCACTGGCTGAGCGAGGTGCAGGCGCGACGCCGAGGGTTGCGATCCCATTGCCGGTCCCGGTCCGGTACGGGCGCGACACTGAGGGTTGCGATCCGTTGCCGGACACGAAAAAAGACAAAAAGGAAGTAAAAAATAAATAAATAAATAAATAAAAATAAAAATAAAAATGAAATACTGTGCAATCTCCGCATAGAAATCAAAAGATTAGGGCAGACTACTGCCTGGTGTAGCTTTAGTTGCATCCTTCCTAAAACCAAAAGGATGAGCTCTAGTGTGCCTGTACATTTGACAAACTTCAACTAAGGTTTTTAAAAAAAAACAAACTTATTTTCTTATTTTTATATATATACACATATACATACACATATATATCTCTATCAATGTCATGAGAATGTATCTTTAGAACATTTATTCACACATAAGCAAATAGATAGACTAGCAAATTCTGGCTTTCTGTTATAAAGATATAAGGAGTAGTTAGAGATAACAACTGAGATCAAGAAATATGAAAAGTGAAGCCAAGAGAAGTTTTTCAGATAGTGAAAATGTCCACAGGCCCAGAGAATTTTGGAAACTGTGTTAAGGCTGGAATAGATCACCAAGTTCTCTTTCGATTCTTCAGATTCTATGACTTCATGAAGTCATATGATTTCCATATATAACAAAATCAGTCATTTCAGGTTAGTGTTCTTTCTGGGTCTTAAAACAAATATGGAGCGCCGGCCAATTAGCTCAGTTGGTTGAGTGCAGCATTATAACACCAAGTTCAAGGGTTCGGATCCCCCTGCCTGCCAACCACCAAAAAAAACCAACAAAGACGGAATGACACTCATAATCCCCTCCACCCCTACCCCAACCCAAGATGAAATCGAAAATGCAATATGGAATTGGAGACAAATCTTAGCACTGCAAATCAATTAATAATACTTACCGTGTCTGAATTCCCTTCCAGCAATATATTGATAGCTTTATTCACATCTCCATTACAGTCATGTAGGGCCACTATGCATTCATCCTGATTTTTCCCTGTCACTTCCATAAGCTATTGAAAGTATCAGAAAATGGTTAGAAGGAGCCAAAAAAATTGCACTTGATATTAATTTTGAGATTCTTCTACACAAATTCAGATATTATACAATCCTTCTACATGAAGACGGCCTCTTCCAGACCCTGAGTTAACAATCTGAGAACAAGTTTGCTTTTTTTGTGGCCACCCCATGTCCTTTCACTAATGCTGGCAGAGTCAAACTACAAACCAACCTTCCTCCCAGCTTACCAAGTATTGGTTTATTAATCAGCACCACATGTATATGTATACACCAACATTTTCAGAACACCCAGGATCATGTATTTGACTACTAAAACTTAGGTCAATGCATGGGATCCTGAACTACTAAAATATTAAGTGGGACTACAGGAGTACAAGGCCACCATTCACAGAAAATCCAGTCCAAATGTTTTGCACAGGAACATTCCCTACACTAGCTATCACTGCTTGAATTAAAACAACTTGCATGCATGCTAAGTTATAACACCCTAAAATATCACAAGTGAAATTCTGCTGTCACAAAACATACTCCTACACATATTATTTTCTCAAGAAGATTCAACAGGGTGCTATGTTTGAAGTAAAGAAATCTCAGTTCCCTTCTCTTTAACAAGGGAGACTAAACTGCTCAGCATTTTCATCACTAGAACAATCACAGATCAGGCACAGTATAGGTTTCTCAAGTACCAGTGAATAATCTATAATTTAAATATCTATTGTATTTTAACTACATTTAATTTTTTTTTTTTTTTTTTGGCAGCTGGCCAGTATGGGGATCTGAACACTTGACCCTGGTATTATACCACTACACTGTAACCAACTGAGCTAACCGATCAGCCCATTTAACTATTTTAATATGTACTAGCTGGAGTTCAAAACAGCTTGACCCCAACATTTCAAGTAATTTGTCTATGGTCACAAAGCTAATTAATAGCAAAGTCCATCAGAAACCCAGGTCTCCTGATCCCATAACTACAGTTCTTTGCACTATACCATTAGGTAACCCTGTTTTCCTCTGTTCTTTTTGTCAAGCAGAAAAGTTCTACATACTACACAGCTTTCTAGTGCTTCATCTTTGAATATCTATAATAATATCAGATTTTTATCAATGTATATCTGTATTAACTGAATGCCTACCAATATAATTGTGAAGATGCACAGTCAGCATCAAAATTTCCCCAGTGATTGGATTAGGAAGTGACAGAACTAATGCTAGAACTTAAATCTCTGAACTGGCGGACCAACGTTCAGATAAAAGGCAATATATATAATATGTAGAAATATGTCTCAAACTGTACATCGATCTCATTCCAGAGAACGGGTTCTATGATTTTTAATAAATTCTTTTTGTGGCCTTCCTAAAAGATTACTGTCAGCCTGATGTCAGCAAACATAAGAAAGAACAAAGTCTATCTAGTAAAGTGCTGAAGAATACACTGTGGGCCATTCACTCCAAAGAACAATTATTGGAAGGTGTCTACCAAGGGTTGGAATACCTGACATTGAGGACCAAATGGTTTCTAGGATCTTGAAGGGAAAGGAAGTCAGTAAATCAGGGTTTGAAATTAAGATTAGTTTATCAAGAAGACATCTCATTAAAGTTCTAAATGAAGACATTGCCCTAAAATTTAATTTTATCCTTTTCCAAATAAAGTTCAGAATCACACTCATGTTTGAGAAGGCAATTCAGCTCTTCTCTAAATTCCTGAGAATGTACCTTTTTTTTGGCAGCTGGCCAGTCCAGGGAACCAAACCCTTGGCCTTGGGTGTTACAAGGCCACACTCTAATCAACTGAGCTAACCGGGCAGCCCCATACCAAATGTTAAATATACTTTCTATACACAGGTATTGAAAATGTTGGTGTGCTTTCACAAATGTCTAGCCCAAAGTTTATAATGTAAACAATAGTAACTGAGAAAGATTCTACTGTCAAGAGGATGAACATATTCAATTCCTTCATCTGGCCACCAATCCAGGTTTTTAATCACAAGTCCAAAATCCATTACAGAGATATGAGTTGAGACTAAGCAAGAAGTATACTTTAAAATGAAAATGTCTAGTGAAATTTTCTTAAGCACAATAAGAATAGATAACAAAAATGACAGTTTCCTTTCCCAGAAACATACCTGTTTAACTTTAGCTTCAAAATCTGAATCATTCTTATCAAAGATCACTTGAGCGAGACGCATCTGTTCGGCTGTTGCCTGGAAAGCACATACAACTGTTAAAGATTTGAGCACCAAATATATGTTAGATGCCAAAATCTGTGTCAAACAGATAAAGCTCCCAAGCACCACAGCACTATGGTAATAGAAATACTGATTAACTAAAAAAACGAAAGGACTCTGAATTTAGGCCTCTCAACCATATATAACCTGTTCCCATAATATATAAACAAGCATCAAATCAAATAGCGTAAAGGACCCATTCCTTTGGATAAATGATCTAAAGTTCCTGTGCACCTTCATCGGCCATGTGGCTTATTTGAATTTTCTTTCCTTTAAGGAGATGGGAGAACCAGCACAAGACAAAGTAGAAGAACAAGAAGCAATGGACATTTGGGAGAGCAGGGTGCTGATAATACCAAGGTCAAGGATTCAGATCCCCGCCAAAAATAAAAATAAAATAGCAGCAACAGCAGTAATGGAAACAATTCCCAGAAACAGGCTTAGAACCATCCCTGTCGTCAAAAAAGCAAAAAAGCTCTGCTGTCAGCTCTAAAAAGGCATCCCAATTAGTCCTAAAGAGAAAAAGCATTTTTAGCTAAATAACAATAAAAAGTTTCTAATTAAAAAAAAAAAAACAAAAAACTTCCAAACACTAAAATTAGTCACCTCTGCAGAAAACTGTTTCCCAGTTACTTTTTTCACTCAAAATCCTTTTTTTAAAAAATCAACTTATGGGGCTGGCCTGTGGCTCACTCGGGAGAGTGCGGTGCTATTAACACCAAGGCCGCGGGTTCGGATCCCATATAGGGATGGCCGGTTAGCTCACTAGGTGAGCATGATGCTGAAAACACCAAGTCAAGGGTTAAGATCCCCTTACCGGTCATCTTTAAAAAAAAAAAAAAAAAAAAATCAACTTATTAAATTTTTGTGATATTTTTGGCAATAAAAAATTAGAAAAGTAAAAAAGAAAAAGTTACAGTTCTGTGGAGTCACTTAATAGAAATACACCAAAATTTGGTTTCTTAGTTTTGACAAAGGTACCATGATTATGACAACAGGGATATGAGGTGAAGGTTATACAGGAACTCTGTACTATCTCTGTATAACTTTCTAATAAACCTAAAATTACTACAACATAGTTTTATTTTTAAGTTTCCCTTGTTAACTAAAGTCTATACTAACTCCCAACACATATTTAAAAACCTAAAGTTAACGGAAAGCCACAAAGAAATAATGAAGCTTAGAATGTTATATGTGTAAAGTGGGATAAAGTAAGTACATAGTTTTGGGATATTCTAATTCTACCAACTCCTGGTTCTGAGGCAACCAGGATTTTTAATGTGGAAGTGACAAAGATGTAACACAAAAGAAGATAAGTTAAAAACCTGTGATCCTGAATATGAACTATCAGCATTAACTCATAAGATATTTTACCTGTAAAAAAATAAATACATAGCTCTGTCCACTGAAGAGACCTAAAAACCATGAACAAACCACTAACAATAAACATCCTCAATTATGAAATTAGTCACCAAATACCATTTTCCACTAAAAGAAACCAGGATTTCTTAGAGCAATGGATGATTTATGGTACAAAGCAGAAAATATAGACAATAAGTCTGGAATATCTCGTCATACCAGTTTACTACCAATGATTACTAGGACCAAGTCAAAAAGCAACCAAGAGCCAACCTGAAGAGACTTGCACTGGCCAAAAATGGGATAATTTGAACTTCAAAAAGGATAACAAGTGGAAATTATTAAAGCCTATCAAATGTTTAAATCCATAAGTTTATAATAATATTTTTTAAAGTACTGATTATGCACCTTTGGAGGATGATGGATAATCAATTACCTTAAAAACTGATAACTATACTTTTCATAAATGCTATGATTATGAAAAACAAGGAAAAAGTGTCACAGACCAGAAGAGATAAAGGAGACATGACCACTAATTGGATTGGATCCTGGAAAAGAAAAAAGAAAAACTAGTGAAATCCAAATAAAATCTATATTTAGTTAGTAATATCGTGCCAGTGTTTTTATCTTAGTCTTGACAAATGACTACATCGGACAGGTTAGCAAACTATGGACTGCGGTCTGTTTTTTTTTTTTTTTTTACGGTGTGCCGGTATAAAAGATTTTAACATTTTAAATTTAGTTGCTAAAAAACAAAAACAAAGAATATGCACTGGAAATTGTGTGTAGCCTGTGGAGCATAAAATATTTTCCATCTGACCCTTTAAAGAAAACATTTGCCAACTCTTGATGTACAATGTTAATGGGGGGGGGGAGAAGACATAACAACTACAATTCCTCGAAGTTGATGTGACAAGCAAACAGAAAGGACATTGTTGGGAGGGAGGGGGGAGAGGGAGGGGGAAGAGAGGCTTCGGTAATGGGCCACGATAATCACCCACATTGTAAAAAGGCAAAATAAAATTAAGAAAAAATAAATAAATTTAAAAAAAAAAAAGATGACCAGTAAGGGGATCTCAATCCTTGGCTTGGTGTTGTCAGCGCCACGCCCAGCCAGTGAGCGAACCGGCCATCCCTATATAGGATCCGAACCCATGGCCTTGGTGTTATCAGCACCGCACTCTCCCGAGTGAGCCACGGGCCGGCCCTGATGTACAATGTTAACATTTATGATAGTTGAATGAATATATCAAGATCTCTCATCCCTCTTTGCAACTTTTCTGCAAATCTTAAAATTACTCCAAAATAGTCATTCCAAAAAGTTAGGGGGTTTTTTGGTTTTGGCGGTTGGCAGGTCAGGAGATCTGAACCCTTGACCCTGGTGTTATCAGCACCACGCTCTAATCAAGTGAGTTAATCAGCCAGCCCCCCCAAAAGTTTTCTTTAACTGGCAAGTAAATAAATTCAAGTACTTATCCTACCAAATAGAAGAGGGGAAGAATCTTTTTTTAAAAATATTCCACGTAATATATGAAAAAGAAATAGATTATTTTAATTTTTAGCCATTCAAATAGGTTTGTACTGGTATCTCATTGTGATTTTAATATGAATCTCCTTAAGACTAATGAACTTGAAAATCTTTTCATGTATTTATTTGCCATAATATACCCTCATCAGAGGTGTCTATTTAAATCTTTTGCTCACTTTTTTAATGAGTTATTTATTTCCTTGTTGTTTCAAGAGTTCATAGCATATTCTGGATACAAGTCCTTTATCAGATATATATGGGTACTTTAAAAAGTTTATGGAAAGATCCATATTAACTTTCAATTTTATTACTACACAATCCTTTTGACATATCCTTATATGATTTGCAAAAATTTTCTCCCAGTTTGTTGCTTTTCATTCTCTAAACAGTGTCTTCTGAAAGCAGTTTTCCATTTTGATAAAGTCCAATTTACCCATTTGTTCTTCTATGGATCATACTTTTGTCGCTCTACCTAAGAAATATTTGACTAGCCCAACGTCACAAAGATTTTCTCACACACTGTTTGAGGAAGACATCTTAGAAAAACTGTTTGAACTTTGCAAACTGAAGAATTCACTAGCCATCCTGTCTCAAGGTAGCCTGCAGCCACCCTGCAGATTTTGGACTCTGCAGCATCAACTGGATTTCCCAGATTTCAGGCTGCCAGCCCCTGCAATGTATGTGAGACAATTCCTTAATTTTCATTTCAAAAAACTCCAGAGTGAGAATTGAGGGAGAGGGAGAAATGAAGAGATTCTGGGCATAAGTGAGCCTTAAGGTCTGCCCATACCCAAACAGGAAAGTTGGGGTGTAAGGGGAGTCCTGACTTTCTTAGGCAGAATTATATTGGAGCCCTTCTGACTAGGGCTGATTTGGACAACAGTGGCCTAGAGTCCTCCCACTGCCATATTCTCAGTATATTCCTAAATTTTAAACCCCCTTATTCCCATAAATATTCCAGTGGTTACCACTGAGCACTAAAGATGATAACGGAAATGTGCCAAGGCTGGGAATAGGCTCGGCCATTGACATTTACATTTGAAAGTGCTCAGATTCTGAAGGAAGGGGGAAAATTGATGATTTTGTTTTTCCAACAGCAAATAGACACCATTCTTGTATCTGCCCAGTGGTCAAGGTTCAACTAGAAACCAGTTCTGGGCAGTCCACCAGATCTCTTAAGCTACAGGTAAAGATCTCAGTCTTTAGAAATGCACACTCAAATGACTGTGCCATCTACATTCTTAACAGAATTGTGTTGACCTTTTTTCCTGCACCCCTGTTAATTATCCCTCTTAATAAGTTTATATCTTATAAAAAAGGATTTTCTCTCATATTTTGTTCTAAAAACTTTTATTTAGGTCTATGATCCACTTCAAGTTAATGTTTTTATACAGTGTGAGGTATGAATACAGGTTTTGAGGGTTTTTTGGACATATGGATATCCAATTGTTCCCATACTACTTGTTGAAAAGGCTGCATTTCCTCACCACATTACCTATACTCTTTATCAAAAATCTGTTGACCGTATATGCACGGGTTTATTTCTGGACTCTCTATTTTGTTTTACTAGTGTATTTTTCTATCTTTATAAAGATAAAAACAATGGACAAAATATAACCAAGTGCTGGTGAGGATTGAGAAGAACTGGAACTTTCATACACTGCTAGTGGAAAAGTAAATGGTTTACCACTTTGAAAAACAGTTTAGGAATTTCTTAAGAAATTAAACACACAGACTGGCTGGCTAACTCAGTTGGTTACAGTGCAGTGTTATAAGGGTTCAGATGCCCATACCGGCCAGCAGCCAAAAAAAACGGTAAACATACACCTACCATTCCACTCCTAAGTATTTCTCCAAAAGTGTATGTGTGTCTCCATACAAAAGACTTGTACACAAATGTCTATAGTAGCTTTATTTGTAATAATTAAAAACTGCAAACACCACAAACGCACATTAACAGATGAGATGAATAGGTAAACAAATTGTGGTATATCGCTACACAGGACTATCACTCAGCAAGAAAAAGGAATAGACTATTGATAGATGCAACTGCATAGTTAAATCTCCAAATAATTATGCTTAGTAAAAG